ACGATGGAGTTACTCTCGGAGAACTCCATCGTTTATATATTACCTGAGAGACATAAAATATGTATTTATTTTACTTCCTATCACCTTATAAGATAATCCTAGTAGTTTCTAGGTCATTGCTGTAGCTTTCAGCATTCAGTCAAAAGTATTTGACTTATTCATTTACGTATTTCCTGATATTGTTTGAACAATATGGCGACAAGGAGATGAGTTGCGTTGAGACATATTCTTGGATAATTGAAACATAACAGGTAACATTTCATGTGGCGTCACCTTAAATAAGCGTACGAATGTGTGTGTGTATTCCTTCCTTTAAGTGCCCATCCAGGGTCACAAAGCCTGGACATTTGCTTCGGTAAATGAGCTCACGAGTGGAGGAATGCTATCGTATGTTAATCTTTGTTTTTAATTTTGCATGCATCTAGAAAAGGGTACGTATGTGATATTGCTCTCGGAGAACTCCATCTTTTATATATTACCTGAAAGACATAAAATATGTATTTATTTTACTTCCTATCACATATATATATATATATATATATATATATATATATATATATATATATATATATATATATATATATATATATATATATATATATATATATATATATATATATATATATATATATATATACATACATACATATAAATATATATACATACATACACATATATATATATATATACATATATATATATATATATGTATATGTTAATCACCGTATAGGTAAGTATTTTTTAGTGAACAGGAAAAGTTGAGACTGAGTCGGATTCGAACCGGCGACCTCTGGGTTACAAACCCAGAGGTCGCCGGTTCCGGTTGTAACGGTTTTAGTTACAAACACTAAAAAATACTTACCTACGGTGATTAACCACGCCTGGCATTTTTGCATGCGAAAACGCTAGTTCGCCATTCATTATGACCTGCGGTATTCTTCAAAAAATGCTGCGTAAGCATAATTAATTTGACAAGATGGCGGCCGTTCGAAATGGCAGTTTTAGTCTTGACGAGGTCTTAAATCAAGATATTTTGAACGACAACTGCGTCGAACGGCCGGTAGATTATTTTCAGAAATTAATGGAGGCCCTTGGTAGCTGCACTCGGGAGAAAAGCTGCCAAAACGTCGCGTTTTTCGTGGATGAATGTGCCGAGCAACTGAGCAAGTTGAAACTGTACTCGAACCTCATGATTCTCTGGATTAAATGTGCCACGGAATATGACTAATTCCATAAATCCAGCGCCAATACTACAAAGGGAAGCTCGGCTGTGGCTGGCAGGAATTCGACGGCGGATAGGGGACAAAACGAGCATCAGAAACCCATATTTATTTACTCAGTTTATCATGTTTTCAATAATCGTAGGAAATGTTCGGGGTTTGTACGGATTTGTTGAACCGTTTTGTTTTCACTGTGATGTCAAGAAGGCTATTGTTATTTATTTTACTTTAATGCGCTTTGTCAACGAGTTATTCGCTTTCTTATCTGGGTTGTCCAAGGATGTTGTGCCTGGCTACTTTGTGCAAAGTTTTTCAACTATATATCAATATGGATTGGAGAGTGGAATGTCAATGGATTTCCTCAGCATGTTTGCTAGTAATGTCTGAAATATTATAATTCATTAAAGTATAGTCAGGTATATTGTAACAGTTGTGAAGATGTTTTCTCTCAAACTCTCTCTGCATTCACATTATGACATTATTAATTATTATAAGAGCTAAATAGCTGATAAATAGTGCATTGGCTGCCTCCATCCCTTCCTTTCTGTGATGGATTGTCACCCTTGGTCCCTTTATACCCAATGACTCTTCACAGCTGTTGCAAACATATCAAAACATTGTTAAGATAATTGGTAATTCTTAAAATGCCCATGCATAACTGGTCATTGCTACCAAAATCATTTCTACCTATGTCTCCAAAATTATCAGCATGTATGTACTATTATTACATGTATTTATACTGGTGCTGTGGCAATGACCAGCAATGGGAATTGCCAAATAGTTGTACATTCCATGATGTCAGAGTATGTTTCTCTGATGACTGGTTTTCTATAAATACCCAGATAGCAAAGGAAACAACTCAAATATTTTAGTGAAGTGAAAGTTAAAAATCTAAATTTCTCTTTGCAATATTGGTGTTGGAATTTTGAAATGAGTCAACCCTGAACTAAGTGTTGTAGGTTTTCTCTGGGTACTACGGTTTACTCACACGGGAAGAAAAATCTGTTTGAAAAAGGTGTCCACTTTCATGACCATTTGACTGGCACTGCATGCATTTATTGTTGACCTACAGACAAGGGATTCAAAGCAATACATTTTGCCAGAAGTAATTATTTGCACATTCAGCTTTTTATTTTCTTATCTCAATCAATCTGCAGGCAAAAATCATTGCATACAACACAAATATAATGATGTGGACATCAACTGATATCTTGTTTTTTTTTAAAGAAATACAATGGTTTACATAGGTTATGATATGGTTAGGTAAAAATAATACTATATACAAATTAGCATAATATATCTAACCCAGAATAAGAACATCTATACAAAGTGAGAGATGCAACTTTAAATAATAACAACATAGTGTTGATATATGCTAATTTGTAGATGTATATGTAGTTTTCTGTATAATTGTATTAATATATTCTATAATGTTATTAATATTTTTTGTATATACTTTGTTATGACTAAATGCATCTGATTGGTTTAATTTTTGTCACATGATCATAAAAGCTCGTGTAATTTTCCAGACCCTGCAACAAACTTCCAGACAAAGGGCCTTCGCTCGAAACATTATCCTTGTATTTTTCAGGTAGTTGCATCCCTACCAAACAGGGGCGAAACTTCAGTTGGGGGGGGGGGTGTTCAGGGGGTGGTCCAGAAAAATTTCCCCCCACCCACCCACCTCTGTTTGCCAGCATTTTGGGGGAAACAGTGGCCAGAAATAAAAATCTGCTGCATCATCGGTTTGGGCAGGGCAATTCAGGCAGACACCCCTGAATTAAAAGGGGGTAGTTTCTCCCCTGCTACCAAACAAAGCTTCAAGTGAAGATAGTTCTATGTTACTACCATGCACTGTGTGTGGCATAATAAATACACTTAGCACTTTACTGGGAATCTTTAAACTCCTGTGTTTTGTGACTAAAAATATTTGAAGATTAATTTTGTCACTTGAGATAAATCCTGATCACCAGGATCGACAGACTGTGCACGTTAAACAGTTACTGTTAGACTGGCTACAATTTGCTGCTGTTGTCACATGAACATTTCTTGGTTGTTTGCTTATAAAACCACTTTCGTCCTTGCTATTGAATTTTTGAATCTAAATCATTAGCTGTAGGAAAAGAAAATTAAAAGGTAGGTTTAATCATTAGTTAGATTGATATGTGAGAGGTCTTAGACTTTTACATCAAAATTATTGAGTGGAACTTTATAAACATTTATTACTAAGACCTAATCAGGAATGACTGAGAGAAAAGCAACTATAGGTCACTGGCAGGAATTGAACCTGCAGCCATGCTGCAGTGCTGGACTAAGGCCTGTTCATGCATTACTGTATATTACATATATACTAATTAAGGTACTATATACATATATAATACTAAAAAGGTACTGCCATGACCCTAACCCATAAGAGAGCTCGACAACTGGCCTCTGTTGGTTAGAGTGCTGCACTGGAATCGCAGGTCTAATTCCGGCCAGGGACCTACAGTTGCTTTTTTTCACAGCTGTTCCTTGTATTGGTGTAATAAGTGTCTATAAATTTCCACTCGACAATTTCCATGTACAAGACACTTCAACTATTATAATGAGTGGGATGCCAACAGAATCTCTTAGAATAACATATAGTGTCGTAAACAACTGAGCTACAGTACAGAGTCCAAATGTCGAGCTCTAACCACAAGTATATATACTGGTTACTGCCTTGTCAAGGTATCAGTAAATGTTAATATGTTTTAAAGGTTATAGGTTTCAATTTTGGTATTTAACGATACAAACACAGCAGTACCCAAGTATACACACATGAATTCCAGCTTGACAACTGGACTCTGTAGCTCAGTTCTGTTGGTTAGAATGCTGCAATTGCACCAGGATTGCAGGGCCGCAGGGGCGATTCCAGCCAGAGGACACAATAATATTCAAAGTGTGTGAGCAACTAGCAGTCGGGATGTACCTTTCATATCCCATGCTACTTTCTGGGAGTTTATTAATTTTGTCTACCACAGTACTTATTGAACTTGAAGCTCACAATTGGGTTGGCTTTAAATAGTATACAGTTTATAGTATAATAATTAAAAATAGATATGCTATAAGTGATATAAAACAAACTATTATCTAGTCTAATGGGTTAGCATATTTGCAAAATTGTAAAGCACCTTAACACTTTTTAAGTGTTAAGGTGCTTTACAATTTTACACTTTTTAAGTGTTAAGGTGCTTTACAATTTTGCAAATATGCTAACCCATTAGACTAGATAATAGTTTGTTTTATATCACTTATAGCATATCTATTTTTAATTATTAAACTATAAACTGTACACTTGTAAGTGTTAAGGTGCTTTACAATTTTGCAAATATGCTAACCCATTAGACTAGATAATAGTTTGTTTTATATCACTTATAGCATATCTATTTTTAATTATTAAATTAAACTATAAACTGTATATTATTTAAAGCCAACCCAATTGTGAGCTTCAAGTTCAATAAGTACTGTGGTAGCCAAAAATTGTGCGCGAATATAAATTTATCATCATGACAAGAATAAATCTGTCTATAGTACGATCAAGATGGGCTCAGTTCATAATATGAAGATATATATTGAATAAAAAAGACCATGATAAATCAGAAACTCGATTCCAAAAAATACAAGAGATATGTAAAACCTTTCTTACCTTGGAATCTAATCGCTTAAGCTCCTGAGCTGTATATATTGCATTTTAGTTCTCCCCTTCAACTGCCAACAGCCTAACTGTGTCTTTCGCATATACTTTCCAACATCGAATATTTTATTGCGTACATGGCTACATGCCTTTGTAAAAGGTATAATATTATCTTTTCTAGCACATTTTGTCAAAAACAAAAAACATACGATTTTTAATAGGTATCTTAACTTGTACTGGATTCAAAAATAAAATGAAAATAACGCTGTAGAAAGAATCCTATACAAGCCGAAGTTGTTGCATTTTGACAACATGATGTGAAAGTCGCCATTTCCCTCAAATGCCCCGAACAGCAAGCGCTCCTGTGGCAAAATATTCCGCGTAACCATGGTAATCTTGATATCATTTTGATCCCCGAGACACGCTCTGTTTCCCTGTTTACCTTAAATAACCCTCAAGGAAAACGCGCACAAGCACGCGCTCGCGGAATTTGAGGAATTTTTCAATTATCAAATTCGCTACCAAGCTCCCAAAATTGTCGCGCGGCAACGAAAAAAATTGACACATTTTAATGTGCAATTTCGCGTGCAAAAATGCCAGGCGTGAACATATATATATATATATATATATATATATATATATATATATATATATATATATATATATATATATATATATATATATATATATATATATATATATATATATATATATATATATATATATATATATATATATATATATATATATTATATTGGACTTTATCTCAATTTTTCGTGCCAAATTTCGGTACTTAGTCCAAAAAAAATCTTGCACTTTGTGCAGACATATTTAACCCACAAAAATGACTGGGGCCCAACAAAAAACTTCCGGGGGCCCCCAGCATCTCGGGGCCCAGGGCAATTTACTCCCTCCCTGCCCCCCTTTTCGGCGGCCCTGAAATGTGTATATGTATATATGTATATATGCGTGTATATGTGTGTGTGTACGTGTACGTGTACTTGTACGTGTACGTGTATATGACTATATGACTATATGACTATATGTATATATACATGTATATGTATCATGACTGAACTAACAAATGCTGTTCCTTACTTGACTTTAATAAGAGGCCAATTTAAAACTGATAGAGCTAGTCAGTATAAATAAAGTTAGTTTAGTTTAGGTTTCCTCCTGTAGTATTATAACTCGAAATACGATTAAAGTTTTTAAATCACGTACACCCCCTGGTTTACAAAATTTGAGTTCGAGAATTTTTTTTCATTATTCTACATTATAAGTATCCAAAGAAGCCATATATATAAAAAACTGGATATTAGCAGCAGTTTTGCGAAATTGAGAGCAATTTCAAATCTGTTCAGTGTTTTTTTTATACACCCTGTATATTATTTTGGAATAAGTAATAAAGTTAAAAATCATATGATCGATGGCAGGGTTATTCGTAGTGTCTTCTTGTATGCGTACATACGCACATAGGGAAGGGGGGTGCGAAAAAGCGTACTATAGCATAGAAAGAGGAGAGGGGTATAAAATATTCCAGAATATAGAATGTTTATAACATTTTAAATGCTATCAAACTTTTGACCATAATGCAGGAAATGTCATTCCAGGGACCGTAAGTTTTAAAATGTTCTCTCTCGTGTCTTAGGCGGGCTGTATTGTTCTGCTATTTAATTAAATAAAATGTGTGAATATGGCCTTATTGTAAATATTCTATCTAGTTTAAATAACTGTTTTCGTTTTTTAATATAGATTCAACAATGTTGTAAACTGATTGGATTTGAACATTCTTATAATAAACATTCGGAACTTTACAGCTATTATTACGACACTTTTCATCTGTCACTTCTGCTACCCAGAAAAGTGAAGTTGGTAAAATCCCTACCTAAATACTGTTATCCAGTATAAATGTAAAAGGTTGGTTTGGACGTTTGGTGCGGACATACCTGCATATACCCGGATTTTCGCAGAACATTTAGTCTCTCTTAAACTTCCTGATGACAGGTTATATGTGAATGTATAGTTAATGGTATGTTCTCCAACACCAAGCGCTGCTGGTGGTCTGATGTTGGGGCTGAGTTGTTCCTTAACTTCCAGCCCATTTTGTGTCGTACATACGGGACATGGTTCATTCCAGTGCAATGCAGATTTCCAACAATGATCTTCGTATTCAGACTCACAACTGCAGTAATCTATAACTGAAGTCATCTGGAATTAGTAAATGTGGCTGAATGTTGGATGAGTGTTTCCATTGGCGAATGTTTTGGATGAATGTTTCCATCGTGCCAATATGGACAAGGTCAATATTCTATGCTCTGGAAACTGTATCAGATATACAATAACAAAGGTGATGATGATGAAGATGGTGGTGATGACAATTATGGTGATGCGATGGTGATGAAACGTATCCCTAACAATTGTTCCTTTTAGAATATCACTATAGCGGGAAATTTGCTAGATTAAGCGTTATGAGCACATAACAATTGGACTTGGCAGAAGCACTAGGGTGTGAGCATGTTATTTCAATAGGAAAAAACATTTAAAGTTACCTAATGCGTCATGACAAGAACGATTTGTTTCGCCATAGTTTTTGCATATATTTAAACCCCATACTCGGAACACATGTAAATTATGTTGGGTGTTCCGATTTATGAACGGAACAGCAATAAAAAAGGAACAAATTGTTCCTACTTCAATTTGGTTGTTCCGTTTCTAATATGTTCCGCAAAGCGGAACTGATTGAGAACAACTCGTATTAGGAACACTTAATCTGTTCCTTTTCATGGTTCCTTTGCTTAGGAACAAAATGTTCCGCGAAGCGGAACATTAATATTCTTCGACTAGGTTAGCAAACTGGAACAATTTATTATGCACATATTGCTAGCTTCCGTTGTTCCGTTTTATTGTTCTGTTTTATTGTTCCCTGTATTTTAATTTTGCCATTTATTTCGCAAAATAACACATAATATATTGCACTTGGGACTATTTATTTAACGTATAAAATTCATACATCGCATATGCATACTAATGCATGTCGTGTTCACTATAAAAACCAAAGTAATTTGATCGCTAAGCATTTTGTCCAGTTTTTATGTTTGCACGAAGAAAATCTAAAGTAGATTGGAAATCAGTGGACGGTGCGTTTACTAAACAGAGACGATTGCATTTGGTCAAAGACAGAGATGGGTTAGATCATTGTCCAGTAACGGGCTGCGAGCATCCAGGATTTGCAAGTCAAAGAGGTTGTCGTAAACATGTGAAAATAAAACATGGTTGGTATTACTATTTCGACGAGAAGCCCAATGTATCGATCGACCTTTTCGACACTTCACCGTCTGCTGCGAATGGAACTAACGAAAAAGCTTCGAGAACAGTTCCTGGCTGCTCTACAGATAACGAATTTGCTCGTTCGTTTTCGCAGTGGCTTCAAAGCAGCTGTGGCGGGGGCAAGTCTCGTAAACAATCGGACATTTCAGTCACGAGAGCTTTAAAGTTCGTAAAGTTTTGCTGCGACGAGAGTGGCGACGCCGAAGAAGACGTTCTAAGTTCTCCTAATTTGATCGACTACGCCTTGGGATCTCCACAACTGTTAACAAAGTTCGTGGACAGTCTAAAAGAAAAGTGGGGTCTTGGACAATCAGGACAAATATCTTATGTTGCAAGCATTTCAGATCTACTGGATTTTCGCAAATTTAGCCGTCCCCCTGCATCGGTGCTTGAAAATTTCGCCGTTACCGAGGTTTATGTGAAGAGAGCGCGAAAGTGCTTAGCGAAGGGAATGAGATCAAATTGGACAACCGATTTAGACATAGAAACCCTCGAATCGCGTAGAAGTTGGGCAACTCTTTCCGAAGTTCAATCTGTAATTCCATTTCACGTGGAACGTTATGAATCCGTGTTGGAAAACTGTATGGCATGTCCTTCTTCTGTCAAAACTGGTGACGTCACGTTTGCCACCCGATTCGTAGCCGCTTACATGTTCCTGAAAGTAAAAGGCTGTCGTCCTATGACATACCAGCATCTAACCTTGCGAATGTTTGAAAGTGCAAAGAGAAACGAAGGGATGGTTGATCAGAAAATTTTCAAGACGGCTAAAAAGTACGGGTTTGATAGTGTGTACTTTGACGAATGCAGCATCGAGATATTGGAAAAATATATAACGTATATCAGACCCCTTCTTACACCCACTTGCGAGTATGTGTTGGTAAATCGCAATGGTAAACAATTTCAAAAACTTACAGATCTTTTCAGCGTGCTGGTGTTCGAAGCCATCGGAAAGTACATTCATCCGACTAGGTACAGACAAATCATCGAGACAGAAAGTTCCCAGGTTCTGCTACCGAACGAACAGAAATGGATATCTGAAGACCAGAAGCA